AGAGACATTAACGATAGAGTGAGAATGCAAAGGATTTGGACTTCATAATTTGATGTAAACAAATACATTAAAAAAAAAGTCACCTGAAGTGTAATTAAGATTAATTCTACTAGAAACTAGTTACAGCACCTTTAATCATATGATTTATTGATAAAATTATTTATATTTTTAATTGAATTTTAAATTTATGATTCAGTTTGAGCAAAAAGAACTTACTAAAAAAAAAAAAAAGGAACTAGTTACACCGAACATGACAAAATAAAGAAAGAAACATAAATTATGTTTCCAATTAATGAATCCGAGAATGGAGCACCTTGTCAGCACTCAGGTAACATCGCTACCTCTGTTTTTGCTTTTCCAATTGCAAGTAGTGCACACCCACCAAGTGCACTAGTATTAATTAACGAAAATTATACCATTTTAAGCTTAATTAACTAGTAGTAGAAAGTATAAAGATGTTGATGAAGATTAATATAATAGCAATCGTTAAACCTTTATTAAAGCTGTTAGGGCGCATTAATTAATAAAAGTTAAGATGCTAAAAATTAAAGAAAAAAAATGTAAAGAGTTCAGAAAAACAATCTCATGATTCCCAGGCTGGCCACTGGCCAGGCACAAACTGAATTCAAAAAAATAAATTTATATTTTCTCTGTTCTAAAAAATTATTATTATTTTTAATTTTTTTCAAATTAAAAATATAAAGATATTTATGTATATTTTACTTTAAAAATTAAAAATTAAGAGATAAAATAAAATTTTTTGTGACAAAATAATTAATTAAAATAAATAGATAATAATAAAGTTAAAGTAAAGAAAAAGAGTTTTTTTAACTTATATTTTAAGTGCATATGCTAAAAAAGTAATTAATGTATTTTTTAATAAAATAAAAAAAAAATAAAATTTAATTTTAATTTTAACAATTAATCAATTAAATTAAGATACATGGTATTGATGTTAAAACTAATGTCAATTTTTCTTATATAAATCAATGATTAAAATGTGTATTAATTATATCTTTAATTTATGTCCTAAAGATAGATATTAAAAAAATCCAAAGAAAAATAGTTGTTTACTTTTAAAAAGAAAAAACAGATAATTTAAAACAAATTAAAAATTAAAAATTAAAAATATTTTAAGATAAAAAAATATTATACTAAGATAATTTTACAGATTTACAAAAAAATTTATTTTAATTGAGACTTCGTTTTAATAAAATGAATTAAACATTCTTAAGTTAATTTTTGTGCATAAATATAATACTTATTCGTACTGTTTAGAAATATTTGAGTTTTTTTTTTTTTTTTTGGCAGATGAGCTCAATAAATTAGTGGTAATTTCTCTTAATTGAAAGTAAGATATTTTTAATTTAATTTATATGACATGCAAATGAAGTGAAATAAAAAATGTGAGAGA